GATAAACACATTCAAAATACTTAATATAATCCAAAGCATCAACTTTATGTATAATACATCTATCTAAGAAAAAAATATTTGAAACACTTGACATAACTCTAATATGTCCTTTTATACATGACACATCCGTGTAAGATGAAACATTTAAAATGTCTAGGTATCCCAGTGCATCTTCTTTGTGCAGGATATGTTTGCTTAATAAAATAATATTTTTTTTAATATAAATGATAATAATTAATATCCTCAAATAAATATTATGCTTCAGAATAAATAAACTCATATCCTAAAGCACAACGGGGGTAAATGATATGATCATTATTTACAATTAATCATGATACGATATACGGGATCTAGCGTTAAATCAAATGCTTTGTGCATGATTAGTATTTTTTGTACATGTTGCATCTATCTAGGATAAAAAAATATTTGAAACGCTTAACATAACCCTAATATATCCTATTGCACATGACGTATTCATCCAAGATGAAATATTTAAGGTATCCGAGAGCATCACAATATATCTTCTTTGCTTAGTAAAATAATAATTTTTTAACATAAATGACAATAACCGAGATCGTTAAATAATATTGTATTTCGGAATGAACAAACTCATACAATGAAGCATGATAAGGGTTAATGGTATGATTATTATTTTTGATCAATCAAACATGATATATGGGATGCTAACAGTTAGTGTTTACTAGACAAACCACTTTAAATTTCAAAAATGAAGAGAGTCTATTAAATACGCCCAAATCAGTAGAGCATCCAAAGAGTTATTCCCTTGTTAGATAGACAACCATACCGCAAGATGCTTGGGAATGTGTTGCGTCGACTGCTCGATAACTTTGAATTCAGGCTGTAAGATTCAGCGAGAACCACCGGTGCTCGAGGAGCTCATGCATGCATGTGATGCCTAACTCGATAGGAAAATGACGAGCACTAGTTAGCAACAATGGCAACAGTGTCTTGTGGTTGAAGATGATGTCAAGCAGCACTCGCTACAGAGTGTGCGTGCGCGCGCAAGCGCAATGGCTTCCCCCAAAGAGGGAATCGTTAGTGCATGGGTATGGCCATGCTCTTCCCCCCACCTTCTCTGTTGCATGCATCCCTCCTCCGAACTCATCATTCCATCTCAGAAAGAAGGCTGCAGAGAGGATCTCTTGGCTTTCGGAGGTTAGTGGTGGGGGAGCTCAGCTCCACCATACGAGATTCTGCCATGGGAGAGAGGAGAGGGGGGTGGGGGATGGGGGGAAAGGGAAAGGAGAAGAGAGAGAGGTGGCAGTCGCTTGCTTTTGCTTTGGTCCCTGATACATCTCATCACACAATCATCCGTGTGGTCAAGATCATGCGACAGTGGCGCGTGGGGGCACTCGATCCTTAGGGCTGTGGCTTGGGTTGATTGCTGTCGGAGTGGGCCCCTGCCGCCATGGCCCTGTTCATGATCTGAACCTCCACACTGTTCTTGGTGCTCTTCATGCTTCTGCAGCCAATGATGATGGCATGGCACCTTTAAATTCTGACCATCAGGCATCGGACAGCCTTCTCGACTCGATCACTCGGCCAAGAACAATAAGATGCTGAAGTAAAGATGAGCTTAGTTAGAACGAACTCCTTTGCCTTCTTGCTTTGACAATGCAAAGGGCAAATATTCTTATCCAGCAGTGCAGATATGTTGTATTGGATGAGCCACTTTGCACTGATGAAAACTGGAGCCACCCACCTTCAACGCAGACATGATTGAAGGAGGCAGACCTCCGAGTTGGGTCCACCGGTGGATGATGCAGATTCTTCGACACTGTTGCTGAAGTGGTGAATGCACAGATTGCAGCTTCAGTGCTGCAATCTCTTCAGCTTCAGCTTAGGATTTGAATGGAATATTTAAGGCTGGTGTTCTTCCAGTGTGACTCATCATTGACAGTTGGACTCCTCGAGGGAAGGAAGCTTCTTGTTGCTCATGCTACTGGTGAGAGATCCAACTGAGATTTGCACAGCACTGTTCTGGGTCACTTGTTAAGGGTGTGGATCACATGGTTGGATGCTCCAAATCTGCGAGAAGAGAGAGGGAGAGCGAATCCCAGAGAGATTTTGTCCCCTAGTGGGTTCTTTATCAATGCATGAACATGAAAGATGTGGTGCGACCATTAAATGCTATTGACTTGGACAACTCCAAATCAAAGTCTTTCTCTAACTAAAACCAGTGAGGGCATCTGCATGGATGAGCGGGCACTGCCTCGGCGACTCTGGGAATCAGTGAAACGAATCAACTTGTCAGAATTGTGATCCTTGATGAGGCCATAATTATAGTTTGAAAAGCTTAAGCATCTTCCAACATGTGCTATCATCTCTTCCTGTACACTACACACACCCACACAGAGAGAGAGAGAGAGAGAGAGAGAGAGAAGGAATAATTTTAGCAAAGAGAGTATGAGTTTGAGAGATGTGAGTGATCCCACCTTGAGGAAAGGGAGACAGGATGGTTCTGTTGGAGGTGTTTTGAATGGTTCCCAATCCCCAAAGAACAGTGAGAGAGAGAGGAGACAAGCCCATCAGCAGCAAAAGATTCTGAGAAGAGTCTCCAATGATGGTTGGCTCTTTGAAGACTTCAAGAACCTAGAAAATGAGACCTACATCACACACAGACACACACACTTAGACCTGTGTTTGCCATGATCTTCCATGCTAAGCCCACCACATGTGTGATTTCATTGGCATCACACCTACTCTTCCAAGAAATTGAATGCTGCAGCCCTAAAGGACAAAGACCATTGACCTGTGTTTGCCATAATCTTGTTCAGAGCAGTCCTGTCTAAAAGCTCCACTTCTCTGGTCTTGTCTTTTACCTCACAGCTCTACACCAGGAAACCTGTAAAACAGCAGCAGCTTATTCTTTGATGTTCTCCACTACAACCTCCAGACATGTCTAAAAGCTCCTTTTTGATCATTGGTCCCTTTCTGATACATTAATGCAGATGTAAAGAACATTGTACAAAGGCATCTGCAAAGCTGTCTTTTCTTATTAGTGTATATATTTGCCAAAATCTAGTGAATTGCCTCATTCTGTAATTGCCAATTTACTTCTGCATCTTTCTTGCTCTTCCAATTACTGTCTAGCATTCATGGATTGCTCCATGACACAAGTGTTATGTTCCAAGCTACCTAGGAACAATGGATCCTCTGAATGCAAGCTTGTTAGAGTATTATTACCTTCTGCACTCAAGATTCTCTGCCTTATTAGAGAGAGAAAAGGAGCCTCACAACTTCCTCAATTCCTACAGGTCATCACAAGACCTCCTAATCATTATCAAAGCTTGTTGCTGCAAACTTTCCAACAGCTCTGAAAGTGGTGGTTGAGAGTACTGATGACTTCTGAAACACATTCAATAAACAAGAACTTTTGTATGTGTGTATGTGTATACTCTATTTTAAGGGATTAGGCTTCATTGTCAACTGCTAAAGATCCCATCAAATTTCACTGACTGAAACAATTCACAGAATCCATTTCCACACAATTGATTTGTGTCAAAACCATTTAAGAAAGAACAAAAAAAAAAAAGTTAACCTCTTTACATGATGAAGCAGTTGTTAAGCTCATGTGGAGAAATCTTTGAACCACTCATTCTCAACCCAAATGGAGCATTCAACTCAATTGGTTTTGCACAATCATCATGATAGAGAACAGAAACTCCTCTTGGCTATGACAAGCCACAGGTGGTTAGCATGGTGGAATTCTTGGAATGATGATTTCAGAATGTTAGCTCATGTGAATCCTGCTGTAGTTCATAAAGGTCAGCAGTGACTTGATCAACAACAAAGCTTTATATATTGCCATTGGATTCAGCAGACCTTTATCCTCCACATCACAATTGAGCAAGCTGGCATTGTTTTATTGAAGAAGCAGCATCATACAATGTCTATAGTGACCAATATTTTTTCTTTTCTCTCTCATTTTGTGGTTCGAATCCAGTGATTAATGTGTTGACTTGGAGGCTTGAAGTGGTTGCTCAGTGAAGAGGGCAATGAAATAAGCTTAATTAGTGACATATAGTTGGTTGTATATAGATATAAGAGAAAGAAGCTGCAAAGGGAAGGAGAATTCACTATCTTCTTATACAAGCAATTAGGATGGACTTTGCACCAATGTTCTTCTCATCTCTTTCTTTGATCTCACTTGTTGGAGGAGAAAGATCTAATCTTCCTTGGAATAACTCACATCCTGCACTGGAGATCATAATAGCAGAAGGAAAACCCATATTATTCGTACTGCAAACAGGGTGGTATCTCCATGCACAACGGGGGGGAACGAATTCCAGTGTCTCTTAATGTAATATCTGCAGCAAGAGAGAGAGAGAGAGAGAGAGAGAGAAAGCGACTTGTCTAAAGCCGAGAAATGCGGCTGCTTGCCGCCTCTCTCTCTCTCTCTCTCTCTCTCTGGAGAGTGCCAACCAAAGGCAAACAAAAGGGAGCAAAAGGGTTGAGCGAGAGAAGAAGACGAAAGCTAACAGCTAAAATCTTCACTCCATAAAGAAATTTACAGGGCCCATTTAGCTGGATGGATTGGACACACACTCAGAAACAAATAATTACTTTATGATCTCCTCAAATTAACAATTAATTTTTAAATCTTCCAATTCAAAAGGATAAAAAAATTATCGGAGGAAAGAAATCTTGATAGTCATGATTTGATTCTTATATAAATATCTCATGTATCTCGTACTCTCGAGAATTTATCGAAAAGACAAGAAGATTTATGTGAAAAGATGTATTAAAGAACTTATTTTTTTGTAAATATAGATAAAATTTATCGAAACATAATAATTTTACATCTGCTTTTTGATATGTAATTATATTTTTTATTTTTTTTCAAATTTTCTATATATAGATAAAAATAATTTTATATCTATTTTAAATATTTAATTATAAATATCTGAATTTGGTTTTGGTTTCAAGCTGTGTTTTCTTCCTCCCAACATCCCTGACAATGTGCTTCCCCTCTCTCTCTCTCTCTCTCTCTCTCTGTCTCTCTCCCAAATACAAACACAGCCCACACACTGATACACACGTATTCATGCTTCCCATCTTTATCTCTTCTTTGCTTGCGTATGGAGAAGTCTATTCCATCCAAAAGTCAGCGTCTTCCATGAATAAAATACACTACTCTCTCTTTCTCACTTCCGTTTGTCCCCTTACAATCACTATTTTTCTTGGGCTGGGAGAGGACCTCTCAAATCACTCCTTCCTCTCTCTCTCTCTTAGAGGCAGTCTCCGAGAGCAGGAGGAAAGAGTTCAGGACTAGAAGCATCGGACTGCTCCGGAGAGGGCACCGAAGCAGCATCTGAGGTCGGAGGTGGTCCGCTTTGTTCTTGGGCTGCGGGAGACATGTGTGACTACTTCTGGCAACGGAGGGAGAATGGCCAAGGAGATCTCGCCGACGTCGTCCGCTCAGGAGGGTCGGGTTCAGCTTCGGGGAGTGAGTTCCCGGTGGTGAGCGACTGGCATCCCCCTTCGGAGCCAACGGTGCCCCCCTCCTCCTCTACGGTCGAGGACATGAACAACGACTTCGGAGACCCTTTCGCCAATCTCTGCGACCCTCTCCTCAGTGAATTGACCGGCATCGAGTTCTTCCACAACAGCGGCGAAATGATTACAGGAGGACAGGTCAAGGCGGCGACAGAGAGCACCGGCGGCGGCGGCGGTGGTGGAATCATGTCCCAGCAGTTGCTCATGAGCGAGGAGATGATCACGAAGCCTCGTGATATCATCCCAAGGGCCTTCCAGCTCTCGTCAGGAGGAGCCAAGCCTTCCCCTCTCTCTCCGATAGAGGCAAGCAGTGGTGCAGTAGGCTGTTCGGCAGACGATGGTGGCGTGCAGATCTCGTCTACAAGATCACTTGGTGTCAAGCGGAGGTTCGACCCCCGGATCTCTCACTGATCTTGGAATTATGTGCGATTTAGCGTAAATTTCCTGATGATCGATCCACGCACATACTGTAGCACGTAGACGTCTCCGATCAGGCCAGGACTATAAGGCCATCGATGCCCGCAGTCTGATAGCCAACACAGTCTCCCCTTCTCATCTTTTCTCTCTCCAAATCTTAAACCCTACAAAAGACGACCAACAAATCTTACAGGTTTTCTGACTTCTTCATCCCCTTCGTGACATGAAATTTGTGTGCAGGAAAAACCAAGCGAAGAAGGTGGTGTGCATTCCTGCTCCGGCGGCGGCAACCAACCGGTCTAGCGGAGAGGTCGTTCCTTCTGATCTCTGGGCCTGGAGGAAGTATGGCCAGAAACCCATCAAGGGATCTCCTTATCCCAGGTAATCTTCCTCATCATGCATCATCTCTCTCTCTCTCTCTCTCTCTCTCTCTCTCTCCAAGGAACTCCATGCTTGCTAATGCAGTTGTGGTACTGATAGGATCGGTAAGTATTTTAAGAGATACTTCAAACTCCTAGTGGATTAAGATTTGCATTTAATCAAGTATTCTGATTATTAGAGAATTAGTATTTGTTCCTATAAATATATCTTTGAGTCTCAATGTCTCGATGAACAGTAGAGGCAATACTTTGTGTGATCCCGAGGATTTCTTTCTGGTGAATCTAGAAAGAGTCAAGAAAAGAATTCTTTGGATCCATGTGAGATGATGCACAAGAAAGACGCTACTTGAATAAAGATAAAGATCTTGTAATTGATCTTAATGAGTAGGTATTAACGTAGAGCAGCTGCTGACTTGTGTTTGCAAGTAGCAGAGCATCTTTCCGAGCGATTGCACGCTGAGTTTAATGCATTTCCAAGTAATGTTCTGCATGATTACTTCGTCGGATGGATTGCCGCAGGGGTTACTACAGATGCAGCAGTTCCAAAGGATGCTCTGCGAGGAAACAAGTAGAGCGCAGCCGAACCAACCCCAACATGCTGGTCATCACCTACACATCGGAGCACAACCACCCGTGGCCGACGCAACGCAATGCTTTAGCCGGATCCACGAGATCCCAAGCATCGAAGAATAGCTCCTCCGCGTCAAAGACCTCCTTCGGGCGCAGTCTAGTATCCCCCACGGCTCCGAAGGCCGATCCCAAGGTAAAGGAAGAAGAAGAAGCCGCAGAGATAGATAACGAGCCGATGATCCCTGAATCGAACCATCCCGATGACTTCTTCGCGGACTTGGCCGAGCTGGAGACTGACCCGATGAGTCCCATCTTCTCCAAGGTTCTTATCCACGCCAAGCAGCCGGAGGAGGAGGAGGAGGAGCCTGAGGATAAGGGCTTGGGTCCATTAAACATGTGGTAGGCTCAGCAAAACGCATGCATTACATGTCAAGAAGAAGATGAGTCTTGAGGGTGTAGCTATGTGATGTTATCTTAATAGAAAAGGGTGAGGGGGGAAAGAAGAGCAGTGGAATGATGGAGGATGGGACAGAAAGCTAAGGAACATAAGCATTCAAACAGTTGGAATGGGTACGATATGTCTGAGATGTGACCGTAAAAGCCTTCACAATGGACTTAAGAGGCATAGGTTGGCATTGTTCTCCTTCCACTATTTCTTCCTCTCCCTCTTCCTCTCATCCAAAAGTAGGGAGAGAGTTTAGAGTTTGCTCATAGGGTTAAGTAATAAGGATGTGGAGGAGGTCAAATACTAGTAGTAGATTGATGAAGATGATGCTTTGTTAGACAACATCAGACACTCTTCTGTTCCTCAGCTTTCTATTCCTGTTTGTACATATGTGATGAAGGCATTACTGTCAAAGTCTTTGAGTATTCAGATTGATGTTGAGAGAGAGCCTTTCAGAGCATAATTCAATCCTCATTGCTTTCCTCCTTTTTACTTTTTCCTGTTGATGTGGAATCCACATTGTGTTCTACATATTACTTGTGTGGTATTTGTGTGTGTGTGTATGAGAGAGAGACAGAGAGAGGAGTTTAGAATGTTTAAATGAAGTTTCTGTTACTATAGTGATCAACTCATTACTAAGCATTCAGATTGGTGTAGAGAGAGAGAGAG